TAAAAACACCTTAATTTAGTTTGAGGTTTAAGAAGTTAATGGCATTTTTTTTTTTTTTTGTGTTCAGTTAGGTGAGATGTCTGAAAATTTAAACCTATATGAAAAATTAAAGTGCCAAGGAATCTTTTTATCTTGATTTTTTTTTTTAAATTATTTGTCATAAAATAAAGTTAGTAGAGGAATTGAAGATTGTTTAGAATGTGATTGGATATTGATTTGATTTGGTTTTGATTGATTTTTTATTAATTATAATTAACTAGTACAACGCCCGTTTATACATACGGGTGCTTGCTAATTTTTTTCTTAAAATCTAAAATAAATGAGAAAAAGTAGATAAAACTTTAAATAACTTTTATAAAAATATATATTATTATATATTTAGTATAACACTTTTTATTTGTGTGACCTACATGTGTTATATTATAATAACTTTTTTAACTTACAACATATAACTACATTAAACATAAATATATCAATTAAGAAATAATTTTATTTTTCCAATGAATTTTAATAAATATTATTTTTTATTATTATAAAGATAAATATAATTTATTTATTTCATATATACAATATGGATGTCAAATCGAAGATCATTAAAAGATGATTATTTTGGTATATTATACATGTAAAACCAATAAGAAATACAAAAGTTATCAAGTTTTAAATACATTTACAATTCAATAGCTAATTGAAGGAAACAAATCAAAAGTCAGAGATATATTAGTCACTTAGTGTCTCACTATGTAAAATTACAAAGAATTAAAGGGTTACATTAGTAAAAGTGATATTAAAATACCTAAGTTAGCTAAATAATATTTATAGAATGTCCGAACCTAGATTATTAATTATTAATATATCAATATTATTTGTCCAAACCTAATTACGAAGCATGATTCTTCGCCAAGTAGGATTCTGAAGCACCAGAAGCAGCCACGTATGCTCAGCGCATTCTGAAATTATATATAGGAGAGATTTGGAATGAATGATACAGTTAGTTGTTAGTGCTATGTGATACGGTTAGTTTAATCGTGGTGAAATGAGAATAGAAATTTTGTGGGATTCTTTGAATTTTAAATTAATTAGTAGGTTTTCAATGCAAATATACTCATTCAAATTATTTTAAAAAGAATTCTAACAAATTGGAAAATAAATATTTTTTTATTAGACAGTAATATTTTTATTGGTACTAGAAAATTGATTATTTTGATCTATAGAATTAACCCATCCACCCCCACTCTCATACAGGCTCACATAACTCTTGTGCAAAAACAAAAATGTACTACTGGTTTATCCAAATATGTATATTTTGCAAAGATGGTCCATATTTAGTACAATTATTTCGTGTACTCTTTGCATTTAATTCATAATAATAATAATAATAATAATAATCATAATAATAATAATAATAATAATAAAAACAAAGTTCTATTGATTTTCAGCATGCATAATGAGAATTTTCAGTCAATTTTACTTTCCATTCAACACATAATAATACTATAGATAATTGAATGAAATCCTTATTAAGACTTTGAATCAAATTATTTGTGATTTTAAAATAGCTTAAAAAATTATTTAGAATTTTAACGCTTGATTGAACCGGTTACATTTAGGGGGATGAACCGAGTTGTTAACTACACGAGCTAGTAATCGAACTCGAGCTCAGTTTAGTCATCAATATTAACAAGTCTAGCTTAAGTTTTAATGAGCCAAGTTATTAAAAAATTATACACAAAAATTTCTTTACGAGCGTTAACGTGTCAAGCTTAACTCGTTAACCAAACAAGCTTTTAACAAACGACTCGAGCATACTCTAGTCTTTAGCGTGCCGAAACCTAGCTCACGAGAGTATAGTCCATTTCAATTAACAGCTCTAATCTAAATCAACCTCGTTAAACAAGAATAACTTGATCAAGTTATAGAACTATATTTTTATTTATTTGAATTCTTTTTTATATAAAACATCAATTAATTGGGGAACCAAATTAAAGTAACTTCACTAAAATTAACTGTACAATTCCCTGATGATACAGAGACATTTATACATTTTTATATAATTAAAGTGGTTTACAGCTACCATGTAGACTAGTAGCCATTTAACTTGTAGGTGTGACAGTCATGTAAATCAAAAGAAATTAAATATATTTAGATACTTATCTGAATGACCTATATAATTTATGCCTATAGATATCCGTACTATATTCCCATTTAACAAAATTCAAGGTTGTAAAATTGTGTCAAATTAGAATTAAAATTGTATCATATTAGAACCAAACATTTCTTCATATTTCTGTACAAACTTTACTAGTAATTCATTCATATTTTTTAACTTAATTTTATTCTATCATCTTTCTATTATTAATAAAATCATTTATATTAATTATGTATATGTTTTGTAATTGTTTTCAATGAAATAAAAGTAAATAAAATGTAAACTTGTTATATGACACATACAATAATGCTACAATAATATAACACAGAAGATATATTTTAAGATATATTTTGTCTGTAATACATAGTAGATACATACATGACAATATACATACTAATGTTAGACGCAACACAACAATTTTAAAATCAACATCCACCATACTCACTACTCAGAGTTGTTATAGTCTATTTGGTTAGCTTATAAGCTTTATGTATTCAACAAATCTCGTTTGGTAGGACGATTTTTTTTTTTTTTTTAAATCTCGAGCTTATCTCATATGATTGTTTAGGTAACTTTTTAAATAAACTAGTTGATTTTTTTATTTCAACTGTAAATTTGAAAATTACATGCTTATAAGCTAACTTATTAGGTAGTTTTATCAAACACATCTTAAATGCTACGAGCCGTTTATGAACTTGGCTCGTTAAGGCTCACGCACGGTTCACCTTACATATCCATTGGGAGCCAAGACATAATTAAAAGTGACAATATTAAATATTAATTAAGCATACATAGTAATGTCGAAATCGTGATGCTAATTTATCTACTATTTAAGTCCATAATATCGGAGAATGTGTTGTGTTGTATGCATGCAAAAGATTAGCATAATCTAGACAAAGATTAGAACAACTTGATAAAGATGGTGAAAAAAAATAAATAAATCATAATAATATTCTCAATTGCGAATCTGAAAAAGTTTGTTGCCATTATTAGCCTCTAAAATGGCATTTGACACATTTGTGAGGTCGACCAAATTTAATTTAAAAAAAAAAAAAATAGAAATCTTAAGAGCACCTGCAATTTTGCTGCTTGTCCAAAATTGGAAATGATAATGAGATAGATAACTACATAAGCTACTTGTGTTACTTTCATGAGTTTCTAGACAAAAATTCTATAGAGTCATGGGATTCGATTTTTCTTTTTTATGGAGCCATCAATCACTTAATGTATCGACACCGGTCTAAAGTGTATCTATTGTAGGACACATGTGAATACAGTATTTGTGAATAACTGTGGATGACTCCATAAGCCGAGCTAAATCGGATGACTCCATAGCAAAACTGACTTTTCATGATCTATATTTTAGAAAATTCCACTTTAATTTTTTCACAGTTGAATCAACACACATACTCACATGAGTGTGTGTTGATCTAACGGTGAAAAACTCGACGGTCAAGGGTAGAATAAAATCTACCCTATATTTTTATATTGTTTATTTCCTATTTCTACTCAACATTTATTTAGTTTTAAATATTCCTTTAGATTGTGTATGGACATTGGACTCATGACTTAAATTAAAAAAATAAATAAATAATAGTTTGGAACTGGAAAATCATAATTGGTTGAGAGAGAGAAAGAGACCATTGAGAAAAGATATGGGATAAAAGAAATCAAAATTATTAAATCAGTTTGTTTATTATAAAGCAGAATTTTTCTACAATTATGTGAAATAAACACCTTTTTTTCAGAAAACATCAGAACATGTCATAAATTTGATGATTTCATAAAACTATTAGATTTTGACTGGCATAGAAAATGATCAATTCCTACAGGTTCTGTAGCATTCTGTACAATTTCTTTGGTAATAATTTAGCACTCACATATATGTAACACACAAATATTTGCTAGCCATTGTCTTTTGGGAGTTTTTTTCCCAATCGAATAACATACCGAGGCCCGAAATCCCGCGCAGGCTGAGAAAAATGTGATTCGTATGTATCTGCTTCATGAAGAATGCGGTTTTAATACAAGGGAACTCACGGCAGATCTTATTCGAGTCCTGCTCATAATAGTAAAACAGCAGTTGCCTCAGCTAATTTATTATAAACAAATGTATTGGTGTAATAATTTCAGCCAGAGTAAAAAACCAAATGACATACCAAAGAGCTATATGACTTGGTTTGCTCGCGCAAGGTTCAAATTCCGAATCGTCTTCCTTAACAGTCGAAGAAACGAGCCTCTGAAACTTTTCCGACAGCTTTTCATATGACCCAACATTATTAGATGGCTGCACTTTCTTGATTCCAACTCTCAAGTGTTCCATTGTGATTTCTGATGCAGATAAGTTCTCCTGATTGTTTAAAAAATAATAATGATGATGATAATAATTTATGTAAGATATGAAAAGGTAGCAAAAAAAAATATAGTGATAAGTTACTTCAATAGCTGCAATGGCTGCTTCACGGCATATAAGAGATATATCGGCACCTGTGCAGCCTTCAGTAAGAAGAGAGAGCTCACTAATGCACACGTCAGAAGTACACGGCATTCGGTGCAGATGCACGCGGAAAATAGCTTCCCTGTCTTTTCTACTCGGTGGTCCCACGTAAAGCAATCGATCAAAACGCCCTATAAATTATCAGCAAATTAGGTAGGCACAGAACAATCGATCAAACCGCCCTATAAATTCCCAGCAAATTAGACACAGAGAGAGTATACCTGGTCTGAGAAGAGCAGGATCGATTTTATCTGGCCGATTTGTAGCAGCTATAACCGTCACACTGCCTCTTTGTTGCAAACCTATCATTAGATATTATTATTTTCGAGAACACTAAAAAATTAAATTATTATTTTAGAGAACACTAAACAATTAAATTTACTGTTTTCAACAAATGCAACAATGTATGTATACATATACTCGGAGAAGTTCCAAAATGACAAAGGACCCCTCGAGATAAGATTTCGCCTTAAATTCTACAAACTCGATACTTCTCCCGAGGTCTTTTGGAAAACACCTCGAATCCCAGGGGCAATTTTGAAATTATCCATAAATTACCGTCCAATTCGACAAGAAGCTGACTAATCACCCGATCACCAACTGAAACCCCGTCACTTTCTTTTCCACGAATTACAGCCAGACCATCAATCTCGTCGAAAAATACAATAGAGGGAGCATTGGCCCTCGCTTTTGCAAACAGAGAACGGACCGCTTTTTCAGATTCACCGACCCATTTGCTGAAAAGCTCGGGACCCTTTACTGCTAAGAAGTTCAGCCCAGCTTCTGAGGCCACCGCTCGGGCCAAAAGAGTTTTGCTGCAACCCGGAGGACCAAACAGCAATATTCCTGTTGGGGGACGGGTCCCGACACGCTCGAAAGCTTCCTTATGCTTCTGAGGCCATAAAACGGCTTCCATTAGCTGTAACTTAACCTCCTCCTGACCACCCACATCGTCCCAGCTAACTTTAGGGATTTCAAGAATTACCTGAGAACACACGGGGAAATCAAGTCAAACCAGAATTAAAGCACAACATTTTAAATTTTTCCTGTAGTATAAAAAGAATCCAACAATAGAAATGAATCCGAAAGTTTGTATTTAAAACCTGGAGGTTGGATGCATTAAAACGATGGGGGTCATTCTGACTCGAACATTTTGAAGTATTTTGCATAAAATTTGTATGATAAAGTAAAGAACACAGAATAAAGAACATTCTTCTGATCCTATCATCCAGAGTCTTAAACAGGAAATGGGTAAGCTAGCTATTAATGGTACCAACTAAGGAGACAAGACTACACTTGATAAGAGCTGCAAAAACACTGCATGAAGATGTTTTTGCAAATGAGTTTGCAAAACTGGGTCGATTTACCTCTCTCATGGCACTTGGCCTTACTCTAATTTTAGCCTTCTCAAAGTCATCAGACGTAACTCTCAATTCGTCCGATGAGTTTTGCATGTCTGAAGTGCATGAAAAAGCGGCTTCCAGATTAGCCTTCGGATAATCTCCTAAACCCTGAGGATACTCCGAGTCACCATCTGAGTCAAAATCTAGCGTATTCTTTACAGATTGACAAACTGAATCAACTGCACCCGTCTGCAATTCAAAATCTATATTTGATTTCACATACTGCCTAAGACGCACCAAGGCAGCCTCATTGCACAAAGCAGCTAAATCGGCTCCAACAAAACCGTGGGTGGCCATAGCAAGATCTTGAATATCCTTGTCAGAAAGTGAATGCTCCACCTCATTAAGAAGTGTAAGTAGTATTTCATAACGTTGTTGTGGAGATGGAACACCTGTATGTATGTGTATATATATCAGAAATACTGTGAGATAACATTATTTGGCCTCTCATAATCACTCGGTAAACTATAAATAGGTATAGTCGAGTCAAAGGCAACATAAAAAATGGTAGGATTGATATTTGAGATGCAGGTAAAAGTTTCACAAGAAAAGATTTTGTTTGTAACAGGAAAAAAGTGAAGGACAATATAATAAGAGCCCTTAGATATTTTCAACGATACCTATTTCTATTTCACGGTCGAGTCTTCCAGGCCGTCTAAGAGCAGGCTCAATACTGTCCGGCCGGTTTGTAGCGGCAATAATAAGTAAACCATCTTTTCTACTTATGCCATCCATTAAATTTAAGAGAGTGGCCACCATTCTCTGAGACAGCTCGTCTCCTCCATCTTTACGGGCAGGTGCAATGGCATCCAACTCATCTATGAAAACCTGCATATGACAATACAGCAAAATATCCATATCAGAAGATCGGGAAATTTTTAATCGTTACTATAAACTGTAAGTGACAAATTATAAATTGGAACTCAGAAGGTATTGTAACTTTGTAAGCCAGGAAAAAACATACCACAGCAGGCAAAGCCTTGCTAGCATTCTCGAATACTTCATTCAACGCTTGCTCGGTTTCTCCATGGTACTGACTAATGATCTCAGGCCCATTTATGGAAAACATGTTAACACCAGCTTCACGAGCACAAACTCGAGCCAAAGTGGTCTTCCCGGTTCCTGGTGGTCCATGAAGAAGCACCCCCTTTGTCGGTCGTAAACCCAAGCTAAAAAATTGAACAACAGTAATCACTTAGATGAAAAGAGCAGATATTGATTTTTATATTCGAAAACAAGTTCTTTCACATCTTTCGCGCGAAGAAATTGAATATGCAGCAACCTTATTAGATCGGTCACTAGTGGATGTTAGATCTTTCTCATACAGTTACTAGGATGACCTGTACAGCTCACGTTAACTTGAACTCGCGCATCAAAGATAGCCAAATATAATGTAGAATGTAGTTTACAGCTGGAATATGGATTTGTGAAATTTACAACCACATTTCCACATCACTATTACAGTATATATGATTATGAGGCCAGATTTATGCATTAACATATTATAAAATCCAATCAAGAAACTAAAGGTCAAAAATCTCTCAGCAAAACTATACATGCTTATTGCTTAGCAAGATAAAGTCCAATAATGTGAACACAAGAGCAAAATAACAAAAATGGATCCAATACTTTGAGTAAAAATGGCAACACGAGGTTAGGAATTAAACCTTGCAACTGTAGATTGCACAGCTGACGAAACTATAATCTCTCTTAAAACTGCGAATTCTTTAGAAAGGCCCCCCAACTTTGAATACACCACTCCCGAACCATTTTCATCGGATGCTTGCCCAACATCTGGATTTACAGTTGAACTTTTCACAGAAGCTTCAACCATGGGATTTCCAGGTAAAAGAAAACGAACTTTTGTACCCCATTCCAGGAGCAAAGCAGACACACCATTTTTTCCTATATCCTGATCTACAGCAGAACTATCATGATTGTCACTACTCAAAATTTCACTATTTGGCAATGCTAGTTTGGTATGCAAAACCCGGAAAACACAAAGCCCTGTAAGTACGGGTACAACAACCAAATTTCCCGGGAGTAACCGTCGTGAATTTAACCATGAAGCTGTGCAGGTTTCTAGAAGCTTCCGTGAAGACTCGTCCCGAATAACTTCCTCAATGTCAAATATGTTCATTGATGCACGAGGCATAAATATCGCCTTTGATGAGGACTTGTCATGATTTGACATACGAGACTGTGTTGAACGAGGAGAGTTGACTGTAGAGTCTGAAAGAGATGGTGTCCTTGGGGATGAGTCGTGAGGCAACCTAGCATCCTCCATTTCCACTTTACCCTTCAAGCAAACCGGATATAGATACAACTCCTTGCAGCTCTCAAATGATATACAAGTAGTTAAAAGACCATTCTGCTTATTATTTCCAGACTCGGTTGAGGGGAGACACTTAAGAGGATTAACAAAAATGGTCCTGCCTGAAGCTGGAGAACCCATACTATACGAGAGGTTCAAGGACAAGCGCACCCCATTCTTCAAGACCTGTATACAGAGAAAACTACTTATACTTAAGAATGGAAGAGAAATAAGGAAGATGAAAATAACTACAACTATAACTACAAATTACGTAGACGCAAATTGCAGTTTTTAGACACATTAGAATTGGATCATCACTTTAAACGATAAGGAACAAATGAGCTGGAAACAGATAAAGTCTATACTAGCTAGCAAAACAGAAATGATTTTTGTCATAATTTGACCATCAATTAACTCCTTAAGACATTACTAGCGGAGAGCCGGAGACACTTGAATCCTCGATAGTCCCAAGAGGTAATACTCAAACAGGAAATGATACTTCAAAACAGATCGAGTTACAAAAATAGCAACAGAGTATTCCCCAAGGAAAAAGCCATTTTATTAAATGACTGGGGTCGATAGGGAAAAAGCCAAAGCCCGTTTACGGAAAATGGAAATATAGACAAGCCAAAATGTATAACCAAACCTTACAAGATGGGAATACTGTAGCCAGGGAAAAATAAATCCCAGCTTCATCGCCCGAATCATCTGCCAACTCAAACCCAAAGCGTCTTGCACATTCATTGGACAGAGAACTCAAAGGAAAACCATTCACAGCTTTGTCCCAAGCAGAAAGGGAGACCTGAAAATGTATATGGCGTTACAACTTACATATATATATATTTATTTCAGTATCACTGTTGCAGATTTCATAGCATGGATTAATTAATTTACGCCTAAAGTTGCTCACTTTATCATAATAATGAATCACAAAACTGAGGCACTAAAACATAGTTTCAATCATAATAATATTATGGAAGTCACAAGTGATTATGCTCCACAAAGTTGCTCATTAATCATCAAATTTTCAAGTAAAAGCACCGCCTATCAATCAGAAAGACGATTGGTAAAACTGAAGAGCGTCTACCGAGACAACGGAGCCTGGGGCAATGGAAGACGAAACCATGGCCGGCTCGGAAAGCCAAACTCTGCAGCTTCTGGAGTCGGGTACGACGTCGTCCAGAACATTGCCAATAAAAGCAGCTCGGGAAATGAGAGATGGGTATTTTTCTGCAGCCTCATCAAGGGACGTCAGCAGCTGTTCGTTAGTCGGCGGCGACGAGACTGAAGAAGAAGCAGCTGAAGAAGGTGAAGAGAAATCGTTGTGTCTTCCATCGGAATTCGAGGGTTTTAATGGTGTTTTTGAGTTCTTTTTCTTGGAAGGCATTTTTTCGCAGCTGGGAAATGACTAAAATCAAGAAACAAGGGGTTGGCCCTTTAAACCCTGAGCTAGGGTTTTAAGAACCAGAATTGGGTAATTTTAGGTTGGGGAAAATTCCGAGGTTCAATTTACATTTGTTTAATTTTATTTATTACTAGTATTAGTTTATAAAATTAGTAAAGGAAAAAATTGCTTCAATTTTTGCAGTTTCAAATGTCACCTGCCTTGTGGTTTTCTTATTAAATTTTTAAAACAAAATATTTTAAATATTGTTGTAAATATTAATTTATGGACATTACCTAGATATAGGGTTTGTAGATATGGGCCAGGAGCCCATTAAGTCTTTAGTCATGTACATTGTATTCCCTTATATATAGGGCTCATGTGAATGAATAAGATGGGGGTTTTTACGGCGTATCTCTTCTCTCTTTTTCTCTTTTACTACTTTCTCTATTTGTCTATCTTGTCTATCTCACATATTGACAATCTATATTACAACACGTTATCAGCACGAGTACTCTAACCAATTGAGCGAACGACGGTGGCATCAAGACGAACCGGCAATCAAGGTAACAATCAACAATTGATGTATGCTCTAGAAAAGAATATTGTCTTTTCTGTCAAGGTAACATTCAAGATCTATTCAATATCAATAATGATCTATTAGTTTCATCAAATTTAAGTTATATTTATTTATCTCCAAAAGTGTAAATTGATGATTTTTGTATGAGTTTGATTGCTTACTATTATTGTTTCGGATTTGTGATTGTTGAGTGCATATGGAATTATGGATTCAGTTCGTACATATATTTCCTGAATTTACATACCCTCTGCGAATTTAATTGGAATTGATGAGTCACGGATTGTTTTTTTTTACATGTACATCAGGCCTTGAATAAATGTTTGTGTTTAAATCCGTTTCTATGATATCGGTAAAGTGGTCACATGTTATTGTCTTATTGTTTTGTTTAAACATTCAAAAGACATTGAATTATTTGTTTGTGTGGAAAAAGATGCAGACTATATTAATCTTCAAGTGAGATTTGGTATATATATGTTTAAGTAGAATAGAACCGTATCAGAATTCTTTGCATTGAATTCAATGGCCAATTTTTATTAGTGTGTTAAAATATGAGAGATGACATATTAGATTATTTGAGTTGTAAAATATGTTTTAGTTATCTCTTGAGAACAGTGTTTTTCAACCCGGACCGGCCCGGCGGGTCGACTCGGGACCCGGTCGACCCGGAGCCAGAACCGGTTCGGGTGTGCTAATTAGACCGGATAACAAATGAACCGGTCAAACCCGGTCAAAACTCGGTCAACCCGGCCTT